GTGGGCTTCTTCGGAGATATTGGCTTCTGCGACGGCAAGTAGGTAGTCATCTACAGAGAGATCAGGAGGTCCAGTATCTACAGGCCTGATTTCTCGCTGTAAATACTGTCGAGTCACACCATCAATAATGTTAGGAAGATGTAGCACCCCTGAAACGATTTCTTTTGCACATTCAAAGGAGATATCAACAGAATATTCAAAAATTGCGGTAGGCAAACCATTGGCTTCACCACCAACTGAATCATTATCGGAAGTACACGATTCGCTCTCCATATCGTAGCACTGCGGATGTAAATTATCAGTGGTGTTTCCTTTTCGACTGCGAATGAGCTCACTTTCAGGCGATTCCTCGCAGCTCGAATACTGATGCTGCCCTCTGTGAAAATCTTGCCAATGTTCCTCAAATTTACGACAGGCCTCTACTGCATTATGAGGACCCGAAGTGATAAAGAGTTGATACTGTTGCCGTGCGTCGCATACGGCCCAATCAAAAGAATTTTGCCGATGTGGTTGAAATAGAAGAAGAAGGGTTCTATAGTAATAATCTGCTGTCGAAATATCAAGTTGGCTTGTAATATCAGGAATTGGTTTGCCTGAAATGATCATCACCTTGCGAGTACCAGTTTGAGCAAAGTTGATTTGAGTTGCTGTCGTGTCCAAAGACGAAGACATCTCAGGAGCATACATTTCACATACTTCCGCAAACCAAACACTCTCTAAAAGTGGTTGTCTAGCCCAGTACTGACGAAGCAGAGCCGACCGATCCTTTAGGTTTGCTTTTCTTCCACTTAAAATGGACTCGAGATAAACTTGTTGCCACAATCTCCCCATGAACAACAATTAAACTCGTCACAGAGGGTGTAGTTTAAGAAGTGAGGGCACAGTCTAGCGCATGCTTCGCCGCAGTCGCACATCTCCAGCTCTTCCCCGTCGTTTTCTACGAGAAGAGCGACATCAAATATATTCCACTGCAACTTAACCACGCTTGATGGCCATGTACAAATCTGAATAAAATCGTAGATAGCCTCAGTGCCAGTGGCCTGCGGTGAAGGAATCACTGCCTCTCCTGCTGCTTGTGGCATCGTCTCCGCCAATGGTGCCGGAAAAGACGTCGGCGGCAGAACTTCTACTAGTGACGATGATTTCGCTGGAGGCGGAGCTACGGCTAGCGTTGGAGCTCGCATTGGCAATGTAGCTTCCGCTGGTGATGGAGCTTCTGAA